AGAATTAACTCTTCAAAACCTTTGTTTACATCATCGTAGTTTTTAATATCCCAGTTTTCCTCCTTTAGCTTTCGTTCCAGAAGCGGCTCATTTAATCTAGTTTTTTCTACCTGTGTGTCTCTTTTTCCTCCTCCCGATAATTCTATCTTTGCTACAATTGGGTAATGATCTGAGATTTTTGTTTTTATCACACCTGTTTGAATTTTCTCAATAAAATGTATTGTCTGAATAAAAATGTAGGTTTACACATTTATACCAAATTCCATCAAAATCGGATCATTTTTGCTCGAGTTATCGTACTAATGGACACACACACACACATATATATATGAATTTGAACGGATGGTGTTTTTGGCCTCTAGGGACCCTAAAACGAAAAAAAATCAGTCCCCCGTCCAAGTCTTACCATGAGTACTACGGTATGTAGCCAGGGGCCATTGGTTGGGGTGATTATGGGGGTTAATGGTAATGGTATGGTATGGAGGAGGAAATTCGGGTAATCAGGAGGGAATAAACAGGGTAATGCTAATAGGTTAGGAATAGGTGTGTCTGGACCAAACTTAATTTAAGCGTGCTGAATCAGCTACCAATAAAATTAGGAAGATTGCTGGGGACCAGAGGGACGGAGACCTTTTACCCAGATCAGAACACTTGCCTAGCCAGCTTTGATTTACTCTAATTGAACTAACTATTTAACTGTGAACCTATCCTTCCAACTATGAACTGAACATGGATAATTTCTTACTAATATTGATGAGTGAATGAATGATATATAAATTGAATACTGAATGTGAAATATGTATGAATTGATTGATAACCATTAAGTTACATTCTGGGAACATGAGGTTTAGTTTTCAGGTTTGGAATGGTTGGTTGCAGAGGGCAACCAACCGGCTAAGTTGTAAATTCCTACATCTCTATGGTCGGGCGAGCCAGAAGGGCTCCCCGCTTGTTACCTGACTTAGCCAAGCATAATTTGAACTTATATTCCTACATACTAACTACAAATAACTTATCCATTTATGACGAGAGGGACGGTCGGAGTTTTTCTGGTCGTTTTCAGTGTGTAGGTTCGTTCAGCAAGGAGGAGGAGAGGAGTCGACGTCGGTGGGGAAGTGGGGAGAGACGTTGATGCAATCGCGGCAGGCAACGAGTTGAACATGCAGCCCGGCTTCGCGAAATGCACACACTATAAAAAATATAGCGTGCCGCTATGCCTCATAGGTAATAGCTTATTCCCTATATGGGAAATTTGCTAAAAAAAAACTGACAGAGTTTTTTCCAATTAAAGTAAACTTTTTAGATACCAGTATTGGTTTCAAAAATAGATTTTCCTCCAAGCCCTGCCAAAGTAGTTTTTCGTATTTTTTATCATCACGATAATGTTTTTCAATCAGCTCCGAGCTGACATTTTTAAAATCCTCAAGTTTGATGTTCTTCAGCTGCCCCCCTTCCAGTTAAATTGTTGAGTTTGTTCTGGGCTCGAAGCGGGCAAATAGCAGGTGTAACTAAATTTAAAATGTAATTCTCAAATCTCTTTCTAGAAGTTGATCTGTGATTCAAAATATATTTTTGAGATTCAGATTTGACACATAACTGGGCAGCGGTGAAACATCCTTATAATTTTTTATATTTCGTTCACTTTTGCACAAAGGTTCCTCTAGCTATGTTATTATCTTTCTGGTCTCAATTTAGTTTCACTTAGTTAACCGCCTGTGCTCCGCCATGGGAATATTGTCAGCAATAAAGACATAATAATTAACAAATAATGTTTATCTTTGTATTTTATTTAGGGGCTGCTTGATTTTTTTACATGAAATAGAACTGATAGATGGTCTGTATAAACTATTTATGTTAATCAAACCGATATATTAGTTTAACCAAATGAATGTTTTATATTAATTCGAGTTTCATTTGTTAAATAAATAGCATACGAACTGCACAATGCTGATAACCTAATAAGCTACTTATACTAAAGAGATATTTTGTTCATGTATTCCTACATTCGTTTTGTGGAATAAAGATAGTCACTTAAATCACGCATCAGCAGTTGGTCGCATTTCATGGATCTTTGGCCCATTCTGTGAGTAACAGCTGTGTTCATGGTGTATAAATAAAATTGGGCATACTTTGGTTCAAAGTTAGAGAGTATTAACGGTCCAATCCGATGGTAAAAGGAGTCCCAGACTTATATACTCGCCATTGCAAATGCAGAATTGTATGATCTTATATAATTCAAATAGTTTTTTGGAAGTTTTTTTGTTTCTTTTGGTACTTAATACTTTATTATTTTATAGTCGATGTAGTCCTGTTGATAAGATTCTCCATGAACTCAGAATGTTGATAAGGAGCTAATTTTACCTTCCTCTTGTGAAAAAAAGGAAAATATATTTGTGTCCCTGTTCTCTAAATTATAGATTTGCAGTACCGGTAGTGAAAAATCACATTTAATGACCCCAATTCAAAAGAGTCGATAGTTTTTTTAAGGACTTCTAGAGCACATTTAACACCATCACTGCTATTTACTTTTTAGTTCGATGGTTCTCCACGTGTTGTTTTCGTTCTGGTTGTCTCTTTACACATAGTTAACGACTTTTTACCTTTTCTTTTTCTTTTTGTACTTTTCACACCCCTGGAGTTATGATAAAGTTTTATAACGCTGTAATAACCCGAGTCAACATTGCAATTAAACATCAAATCACACACTTCTTCGCATGAACCTAAATCGTAAGTCACAGGCAACTTCCCTTTACTCGAAAAAAATAGTTGGGGTATAGTTCACTGATAAATTGTAGTTCTACATATCCAGAGTACTCACCATCTCGAAAAGGTAAAGTTTGATACTGCTGAACGTCAAACAGTAATCTTGAGTAAGATTCATCACCTACGATTAAATATTTATATGTTACCCACTCATTAGCTGATTTCTTTTCGTAAATCTGTACAACTTGCAAGCAAATTTCTCCATGATCTGGTGGCTGTAGAGAATAAATTATATTGATCGGAACAAACAGTTTCAGTCCCCTACTATGGGTATTAATTCACATTCCATACTCTAACTTAAACTCAATTACCTACCACTTTCCTTTGGATCATTTCGCAGGAAATGCAATACATTTTTCAAAAATACAAAATTTACATTGGAGTTCCACGTATCCTGCGTATTCGCCATCTCTAGAAAATAAAGTTTGGTACTGCTGAACGTCAAACACTGACCTTGAGTAACATTCATCACCTATAATAAAATGTTTGTATGTTTCCCACTCATTAGCAATTTTCTGTAGGCTACAACTTGCAAGTCTACATGTAGGGAAGGGAATCGTAGGGAAGATTTCCCTACGTTTTCCCCACGATTCTTCTGGTGGCAATAGAGAATAAATTATATTGATCGAAACAATAAGTTTCCGTTCTCTACTATGGGTATTATTTCACATTCCATACTGAAACTTAAACTCAATTACCACTTTCCTTCAGATCACTTCGAATGAAAACTAACACATTATTTGAAAATACAAAATTTACACCAAAACATAGGCTACAAATAATGTTCATAATGTTCAAATACATGTATAAATAATACCTTGTGGTATAAAAAGTTAACAAAACACTTTTCCTTGCTCAACATCATGTTTTTCTTTTCAAACAGGAACTCCTAGATTAATAATTAAATATTGAAAGTGAGGTTATAAAAATAATAACAAATGTCTGACAAACATTAAACAGCTGACGAATAATTTATAAACAGTGTATTATCTTCAATAAGGATTGTATTGACTCGACCTTTGAAGGGCTGTAGGTCGTAGCCCTAAAAAAAAAAACGTAAATTCTAAGGAAGTCCGGCAAATCTATGTATCATCCTCTTTAATTTGAGTCACAAATCTTGTAGATCGGTCCAGTAATGACTGAGAAAACAGACTTACAACTGTGCATTAAATATATAAATAGATTCTTCCACTCAAGATTAAAATAAACTCAAGGAATAGGTCTTGTGTGACATCATTTTTGGTGAAACATTTCAATACAGATTGCTCAAATACCATACAATAAAAAATAGCCCCTAAATATAACCTTGTAAGACACACATTTAACCCTAGAGTGGTGTAACCCTTGATTTTTACCACAGGTTGGTGTCCTTGGTCTGTGAGACCGTTTAAAATTTTTTGTGATATTTTTGTATATAGGGTAGCTATAACCATAAAAGATAAAACTGTGTCAATTGGGAAATAAAACACTCCTGAGTGTTGGTAATTTATTTTGAAAAAAACTAATGCATTCATCAAAATTTGATAAAGAAAAACTTTATTAAATACTTTTTTTATTTGCTAAAACTTTATTAGGAACCTATATTATGAGAGACTATATTATGGACTATTTAATGTAAAAAAAAAAAAAAAAAAAAAAAAAACAGAAACCATTATAATTCAGTCTATTTTTAATGTTTGACTCAAACTTCAAATAATGTCTCTTTTACCCATAGAGTAATGAAGACATCTACACCTGCGGCCTAGAAAGAGCTTAAACACCTTTGGTGTCTTCAGTCTGTGAGACCGTTTTCGTATTTAAAAAAATATTTTATTTATACTACTATGGCAATACAAAATATAAACTAAGTAAAATTATTACTACTATATAATTTTACATTCTATAATAAATTATTACATTATAGTTTTACTATACATAGTATTACATTAAATATAGTACTATTACTAATTTTAGGTGTCTTCGATCTGTCGGACCAATCACGCCTCAGGCGACTTCAGTGTAGGGGACCGATGTAAAAAATTGCAGACGAACCCCTAACTTCAAAATTACGCCTACGCGTCTTGGTAGACTGAGTCCAGGTAGGAAGGTAGCAAGAGACCCAAGTCCTGCACCCTAGAGGGGGGGGGGGAGCAGGAACTTTAAAATAATATGCCATGGGACTCACAGACCGAAGACACCACTCTAGGGTTAAGTAAGATATTCCATAGTGAAATTATTGTAATCTCACCTCTTTGCAGGAAACATGATTGGTTCCAAAAGGAATTGCCAGCCTACCTATTTCCATCCCCTGTGGAACAGGACTCATCAGTAATCGATACAGATGCTGTACTTGAAGTTTGTGAAGTAAGTATATTGTCGTGGCCACACATACTAATTAAGAGTTCTGGCCTTTAAAACAGTTTGTTTGCACTCCCACTTGCTTGAGCCTGCTGCATGCTGCACCCAGTTCTCTGAGATCTTGTAGCATTTTGGGCTTGTCCAAAAACAACCAAGTATGGTGTTTGGTTTCTTAAATGCAATGTCAGTCTCAGGCTTTGGGTTTTGGTTGTTGCAACTACTTACAATAAACAAACAATGCTACTCCGTTTTGATTTTTGGAAGTAGGCTATATTCTGGTTTCAGTTTTCTTGATTTTCCCCTTACATTCCAATTAACTGTGGGATTAGGGGTTGTAATGTCTTGAATAATATAACTTTTACTAATTAGTGATACATTAAGCTACAAGGAGATGGATAAACAACCATCTTACCTTAGAAGAGAGTTCTAGCCAGTTGATAGCCACATAAAATTTATAGCACAGTAAACTTTAAATTTTGCCCCTCCAAAGAGGCTACTTCTTTTAAGAAGACGACATTTATAACTAATTCCTTTTTAGTGAATTTCCTATTATAGTATTTAATAGGAATTACATCCATTGTGGGTTTAATAAGTCAGGGTCAGTGTCATTTGCTATAAACATGTTGTGTATCAACTGCCTGGAAAATTGTTTGTGAATCCGTTCTTTCAAGCATAATGTATGCCTTGGTATAAAAGCAAAAAGAAATATTCAGGAATATTAACATTTTTTGAGTGTGTCTATACTAGGAATACTAGAGAATGACTGTTTTAACCAAAGATCATGCATTTTACAAAGGTTTGTTTTGTAAGTGTAACATGTATTTGAAGAATTAATTGGTTAGTATTAAGATTTACTTTCTTAAAATGTTCTTCTTCACGTCCTTTCTCTCCTTCTTTGCCTTTACATATCCTTGCTCTTCTTTCCTCTCTTCACCTTTCTTGCTCTTCTCCCATTATTTACCCTGTCCTCCATATGTTTTCATTCCTTTACCATGTCCTTCCTTGACATGTCCTTGCTTTCTTCTCATCCTTAACACATCCCTTCCTTAACCCTGAACTTCCTCTACAATTCTTCCTTGGCCTGTCCTTGTTTTACTCCCATCTTTGACCCTTCCCTTCCATTATCCTTTCCTTCATTTACTACCCTTCCTTTACCTGTTCTTTCTCTCCTGTCCTTCCTTATCTCGTCTTTGTTCTCCTCTTTCCTTCCTTTATCCTGAACTTCCTCTACTATCCTTTCTTGACCTGTCCTTGTTGTCATCACATCCTTTATCCATTCCTTCCTGTACTCGCCCTTCTTCTTATCTACTTATTTAACCTGACCTCTTCTATTCTTCCTTGACCTGTCATTGATTTACTCCCATCCTTGACCTTTCTTTCCTTTACCCGCCCTACTACTTATCTCAGTTCTTGACCTGTCCTTGTTCACCTATCCATTACACTTTCCTTCCTCTAGTATCCTTCCTTGACCTGCCCTTGTTGTCCTCCCATACTCAACTCTTTCCTTCCTGTATCCTGTCCTTCTCCTGGCCTACCTTCACCTGTCCTTATTTCCTTTACCATTTCCTTCCTTTACAGTGTCCTCCCTTAATAATCTTCCTTGACTTCTCCTGGTTGTCCTATCCATTACCCTGGCCTCCTTACATCCTTTATCCTGCCCTTCACATCCACTCCTTCCTTTACCCGCCCTTCTCATCTCCTTCCTAGACTTGTCTTTTCTCTTATCTCCTTCCTTATCTTGTCCTAGTTCTCCTCCTATCCCCTTCCTCCCCTTTTTCTTTTCGGCTCCCTTTCCTTCCTTTACCCTGACCTTCGTCTACTATTCTTTCTTGTCCTTCCCCATCCTTTACCGTGTCCTTCACACATCCTTTATATTATCCTTCTCATTCCTAGACCTACCGTTGCTCTCCTCCCATTCTTGACCCTTACTTTTCTTTACCCTTCCATCCTCTCCTGGCTTTCCTCCACCTGTCCTTGATTTCTTTCATCCTTAACCCTTTTCTTCTCTTCCTTTCCTTCCTTTGCCGTGTTTTTTCCCCCGTCTATAATTCCCTCACTTGTCCTTGCTCTCCTTCTACGATTTAATCAGTCCTTTCTGTCCACCCCTACCATTATTCTATTCTTCTTTTTCTCAAATCATTTATTATATTCTCTCCTTTCTTTACCTGCTCTATCTCTGATCGCCTTCCTTGGCCTTACCTTCCTTTACCCGTCCTTCATAATTCTCTTCTATATTGACCTGTCCTTGTTCTCCTTCTATTATTTATCCTTTCATTTCTTTACCCCGTCCTTCCTCAATTATCATCCCTTTACCCTTTTTCTCCTATCCTTCCTTCACCTGTCCTTGTTTTCTCTCATTCTTTACCCTTTCCTTCTTTTACCCCGTCCTTATATTTTTCCTTGACCTCTTTTTGTTGTCCTCCTATCTTTTACCCTGTCCTCATTACATCCTTTATCCTGTCTTTCATCTTCACTCCTACTTATACCCGTCCTTTTTAACTCATTCCTAGACCTGTCCTTGCTCTTCTCTCCTTCCATTACTTGTCCTTATTTACCTCCTATCGTTTACCTTTTCCTTTCATTATCCTGTCCTTCCTCTACTATTGTTTCTTTTGACCATTCCATGTCCTTTTGATCCATTACCCTGTCCTTCACACATCTTTTATAGTATCCTTCTTCTCATCTCATTCCTAGACATGTCCTTGCTCTCCTCCCATTCTTGACCCTCCCTTTTCTTTACCTTTCCTTCCTCTCCCGGCTTTTGTTCACCTGTCCTAGCTTTTCTTTCAACCTTACCCCTTTCCTTTTCTTCCTTTCCTTCCCTTGCCCTGTTTTTTCCCCTTCTATAATTCCATCACTTGTAATTGCTCTCCTTCTACAATTTAAGCAGTCCTTTCTGACCCCTCCTACCATTATTTTATTCTTCTTTTTCTCAAATCCTTTAAATTATTCTCTTCTTCCTTTACCTGCTCTTTCTCTGATCGCCTTCCTTGGCCTCGCCTTGCTAAACTGGTTCTTGCTATTTTCTCCTCTTCATGTCCTTGTTCTATCCTACCATAACCTGTTCTTGTTCTTCTCCCATCCTTAAACATACCTTTCTTTCCTCTGTCCTTCCTCTACTATCCTTCCTTGTTGTGTCCTTGTTGTCCTCTCATTCTTTACCCTTTCATTCCTTTACCCATCCTTAACTCCTCCTTCAGCCTGACCTGTCCTTGTTAACTTACATCCTTTCCCCCTCCTTTCTCTCAGTTCTTTTTTCAGTTTTTTGTTTGTTTTATTCATCTTGCTTTTTTTACTTGCTTTTTTTTACTGGGTTTCCTTTTATCTCCTCTCTTTCTTCATCCTGTTTTAATTTTCCTCCTTTCCTTAACCGTTACCTTCCTTTTATATTCTTTTTTGACCTTTCGTAGTCCTACCCCATCCTTAAACCTGTCATTCTCACATCCCTTATAGTTTCCTTAATCTCCTCTCATCTCCTAGTTCCTAGTTCTTTTCCATCCTTAAACATTACCTATCTTTACCCTGTCCTTTCTCTAATATCCTCCCTTGTCCTACTCTTGTTGTCATACCATCCTTAACCCTTCCCTTCATTTACCCGTTCTTAACTCCTCTTCTAGCTTGACCTGTCCCTGTTTCCTTCCATCCTTTACCCTTGATCTTTACCCTGTCCTTCCTCTACTATCCAGCCTTTACCCTATCATTCCTTTACCCTGCTTCTCCTTTCCTACCTTTACCTGTCCTTGTTCTTTTCCCATCCTTAAACTAACCTTTCTTTACCCTGTCCTTCCTCAACTATCATTCCTTGTCCTATCCTTGTTGTCCTACCATCCTTAACCCTTCCCTTCATTTACCCGTCCTAAACTCCTCTTCTAACTTGACCTGTCCTTGTTTCCTTTCCCCCTCCTTTCTCTCAGTTCTTTTTTCTGTTTTTTTTTGTTTTATTGATCTTGCTTTTTTTTACTTGCCTTTTTTACTGGGTTTCCTTTTATCTCCTCTCCTTCTTTATCCTGTTTTAATTTTTCCTCCTTTCCTTAACCGTTTCCTTCCTTTTATATTCTTTTTTGACCTTTTGTAATCCTACCCCATCCTTTACCCTGTCATTCTCACATCCCTTATAGTGTCCTTAATCTCCTCTCATCTCCATTCTTTACCTGTATTAGCTCTCCTCACCTTCCTTAACCTTCCTAGTTCTTTCCCATCCTTAAACTTTACCTATCTTTACCCTGTCCTCTCTCTACTATCATCCCTTGTCCTACCCTTGTTGTCCTACCATCCTTAACCCTTCCCTTCATTTACCCGTCCTTAACTCCCCTTCTAGCTTGACCTGTCCTTGTTTTCTTCCATCCTTTACCCTTAACCTTTACCCTGTCCTTCCTCTACTATCTAGCATTTACCCTATCATTCCTTTACCCTGCTTCTCCTTTCCTACCTTTACCTGTCCTTGTTCTTTTTTCATCCTTAAACTCACCTTTCTTTACCCTGTCCTTCCTCTACTATCCTTCCTTGTCCTATCCTTGTTGTCCTACCATCCTTAACCCTTCCCTTCATTCACCCGTCCTTAACTCCTTTTCTAGATTGACCTGTCCTTGTTTCCTTCCATCCTTAACCTTCCCTGGCCTCGCTTTGCTCAACTGCTTCTTGTCATTTTCTCCATTTCATGTCCTTGTTCTCCTATTCTACCTATACCTGTCCTTGTTCTCCCATCCTAAAACTTACCTTTCTTTACTCTGTCCTTCCTTTACTATCCTTCCTTGTTGTGTCCTTGTTGTCCTCTCATTCTTTACCCTTTCATTCCTTTACCCATCCTTAACTCCTCCTCTAGCCTGACCTGTCCTTGTTTTCTTACATCCTTTCCCCCTCCTTTCTCTCAGTTCTTTTTTCTGTTTTTTTTTTTGTTTTATTCATCTTGCTTTTTTTACTTGCTTTTTTTTACTGGGTTTCCTTTTATCTCCTCTCCTTCTTTATCCTGTCCTAATTTTCCTCCTTTCCTTAACCGTTTCCTTCCT